AAGATTATTCTTTTCTTATCTGTAGCTACATTTTTTCCTCTCTGGTCTTTTTGAACTATTTCTATTTCATTTTGTTGGGTCCTTAATTTTTCCTCATGTGCTCCTTATTTCATCTTCACTTCTGAGAGTTTTTATTGTATTTTATTTTTCTTGAGTGTTGACTACTGATATTTTTATCTCCCCCTTCTCTCTTTACTGAGCACTTACTCTGCTTAGTGACTTAATTATCCTTATTAGGGGTGATTGAGTTAAAATTTAAATATTCATGTCAGTATTTGCTCAGAATTTTCATGTATTCTTCGGCTATTGTCCTGATGTGTGTTCATCAGGTAAGTTTCAGTGTTCTTTTCTTGTTTTAAAAATTAAATATCTGTGAATTGATGCTAAACAATATTACTCATCACAAAATATGTTACATTGCCCTTTTCTGTCTACCTGTGGGAAAGTCATTTGGGGGGTATGTGTGTAAGGGGGTGTTGGGTCAGGGCAGCCTTCTGTACTTAATTGCAATACTCTCTGCTTCACTGTTTCCACAGACATTCTGCTTCCTGCTAAAATGGCCTTTCTGTATAGCCATGCCCTCTCTGCTTCTCTGAACCAAACCGTGTCCAGGAGGTCGTCTGCTGCCAATCCTGCTGCCCCTCTGCCCACTTCCTTTGCTACACCACAGGGGCATATCTTTTGCACTTCAGGGTGAGCCCCTCACCTTCAGAGCACATACTTGCTGAGTTTCCTGACATGTGTTGCCCAGGGCTGTTATTCTCCCTCATTGCTGTCCCTTCTTTCCCCACCTTCTCTCTAGTAAGACCTCTGCTTTATCTTCACTCAGTCGGCTTTAGATGTCATGGTTCTTGTAATAATCAAGGGTACAGGTTGTCACTTCAGGAAGGGCCATACTCATAAAAAATATACTTGGTTGGCATTTTCTGTGGTCTCTTGCCATTGGGCCTTTCTCACTATTTGCTTCTCCCTCTCATTTTAGACTTATGGCTGATTATTAGCTAATATTTGCAGCCCTTGTACAGTGTGAATTGTTTTGTTGAAAGCGCGGCTCTCCCCTGTACCCTTACCTGTTTGTTTGTACGATATCCAGGATGAGAAAGTTGGTGTTCCATGGGGCATATTTATATTGGAGGTGTGATACAACCTTGAGTGTAGACTTTTAGGGCAAAATAGGGATGGAAGCTGAGGAGAGCTGTTCTGAAGCTATTATAGCTATTCAGGTGTGTCAGTGATAGACTTCTTCACAGTGGTAACTGTGGAAATGGTGAGTAGTAGTTAAATTCTGTTGAAGGGAAGCTGATTGAGGATTTGCTAATGGATTGGTGACATGAGAGAGAGAAGCCATTTGCAACCGCATGTTTGTTTTTCAAGTGCTTCTCTACTGGGGAGTCACTGCAGACTGCAAGGGGCAGAACTGCTCCCAGGAGGATTTCCCCTGCAGTGCTGCCATCTTGCCCTTATCAGGTGGAGTCCTTTGGTGTATTTAAATTCTGGACAGAACGACTTTTCCTTTGTTTGTTCTGGGTCTGCTGTGGAGGTCTCAAGTGCCTGCAGGCTCAGTTCTGCATCCTTCCTGGTCCCAGCAGCCAGCTCAGGGGTCTTCCAGATGCACACCCTCCATTCTGCTTGGAGGCTGGGTCTTGGGATTAATGCTGTATCTGCTCCACATAAATAGGGATAAAAGGGAACGTCTGCTCTTGCTTGCTAAACTGAGGATCCTTGGCCAAATAGAACAGCCTCCAAATTTGATAGAGCCTCTCAATGTGTATTCTTTCTACTTAGGTTAAATCACTATTAATATGATCCCATTTGCTTTCCCTCTTCCAGAAACAGATAAACATTTCTACTGTTTTCAGTGCTGCTATGGTTATGGTTGTTTTTTTTTGTTTTTTTTGTTTTGTTTTTTAATTTTAGTCAATTTGGTGGGATAGTGGGATAGAAGGCAGGCAAAGGCCTTTGCTTACTGCCTGCCATCTTGATCTGGTTGTTAACATTGCTCTTTATGAATTGAGGAGAATATGGAAGAAAAAAAAATTGGGAGGTATGTTTTATATTCAGATGTTAGAAACTGAATTGGCTAATATGTAATATACTAGGGGCCTGGTGCATGAAATTCATGCATGGGGAAAGTGGCGTCTCTCAGCCCAGCCTGCACCCTCTCCAATCTGGGACCCCTTGAGGGATGTCCAACAGCCCGTTTAGGCCCAATCCCACCAAGATTGGGCCTAAATGGGCGGTTGGATATCCCTATCACAATCTAGGACTGCTGGCTCCCAACCACTCGCCTGCCTCTGCCTGATTGCCCCTAACCGCTTCTGCCTGCCAGCCTGATCACCCCCTAACCCCTTCCCTGCCAGCCTGATTGATGCCTAACTGATCCCTAGCTGACCCGATTGCTCCTAACTGTCTTCCTCTAACTGCCCTCCCTAACTGGTCACCCCTAACTGCCCTCCCCCGCCAGTCTGGTTGCCCCAAACTTCCCTCCCCTGCAGGCCTGGTCTTCCCCAACTGCCCTCCCCTACAGGCCTGGTCCCTCCCAACTGCCCTCCCCTGCAGGCCTGGATCCCCCCACTGTCCTCCACTGCAGGCCTGGTCCCTCCCCCCAACTACCCTCTCATACAGGCCTAGTTCTCCCAACTATTCTCTCCTGAAGGCCTGGCCCCCCTGCAACAGCATGTACTGGTGGGGGGGAGTGTCTTTTGGCCTGGCCTGTAGGGGTCATGTTGAAACAGGCTCTCCAACAACCCCTGAAGGGTCCTGGACTGTGAGAGGGCAAAGGCCAGGCCAAGGGACCCAACTGCCCCCCGCCTGCTGACCATCTTGTGATGGCCATCTTGTGTCCACATGGGGGCAGCCATCTTGTGTGTTAGAATGATAGTCAATTTGCATATTACTCTTTTATTAGGATAGGATACTGTTCATTTGGGTTCTTAGTATTTCTGGCTTACTCTACTTTTCACAGCTGCTAGTGTATGCCATATACGTAACTAGATGGCATTTATTATTATTTTTTTTCAGGATTCCCTCAGAGAGTAGAAATCTGAAATATAATTAAAAATTATCTAGTTAATATCCATTGAAAGTCTTACATCATCTATATTAAGTTTAAGATAGGATATAGAAGACTACTTTGGGGAGATACTGTGAACACTTAAGAATGCAAGCAAACATGTTTTAAGTGTAGAGTTTGTATAAGTAGCAAAATTGCATATATTGAAACATTTCCCCATGTATTAAATTCTTTCAAAGTAATTTTCTTACTGGGTTCTGCTATCAAGTGCTATGGGTATTAATTGCAGTTAAACCTTGCTGTTTCTGATGGATTTATGTATTAAATTGGAAAGATACTTTAGGATGTCACTATGGAGTGGGTGACTGGCATTTAATTTTTCGTTAATACTTAATATGTTAAGGCAGGAATTAGGAGAAAAGCTTAAAGCAGCCCCCCTATGTTTGAGTTGGGGGGCTATGGGGGAGAGGTAGTGTTGGTTCATTTTTCTATGTAGTTCAGGGTTATAAATTTGAATATCTTTCTCATTTTAACCTTGCCCAAGTTTAAACCCCTTCCAGGATTATCTATCCCGGCAAGTTATCCAGAGAGTTGTCTTTTTCCATAATAAAATGCATTTCCATAAACACTAGAATTTGAAACCAACAATCTATTATTTGAGATGTCTGTCCAGGGAGAACACTGGAAGAATTTGTGTGGGAGCTTCCCAAGACCAACCCCAGATTTGGTGATTCAGGAGAGGACAGTGGGACTCAGCATGTAGTTGTACTGAGACCAAGATTTATTCCAGGGAAAGGATACTAAGTGAGGTGAGCAGAGGGAAAGGCTCATGGGGCAGCATTCAGAGGGAACCAGGTGATAGATTCCAAGCGTCTGTAAAATCATACAGCACCAGCTAAATCCTCAACAAGTGTGAAGTGCTGTCTACCAGGGGGCTGCCTAGTTCATACCCAAATCCTAGCCTTTCAGGAGGAAATGAGACTTTTTTTTGTGTGTTTTTAAAAATATATATATTTTATTGATTTATTTTACAGAGAGGAAAGGAGAGAGATAGAGAGTTAGAACATCGGTGAAAGAGAATCATCGATCAGCTGCCTCTTGCACACCTCCTACTGGGGATGTGCCCGCAACCCAGCTGCATGCCCTGGGACCTTTCAGTCCGCAGGCTGACGCTCTATCCACTGAGCCAAACCGGTTTCGGCAAAACGAGACGTTTTGTATACATCACAGTTGTTTTATCAGGGAAGGTTGGGAGCACTCCTGAAATCCAACTTTCCAGATGCTGCGGGGCCCACCTTTCTAAGGACAGTCCTTTCTGCATGACATTAGGTATCCAGATAAATGCCTGTTTTAACTAATATTTAATCTAAAAGAAAGGATACAATATGCATTATCAGACCTTCCATACCAGATCTGTAGATAGGTTTCTATTTTGATTGATACTTAAAAAAAAAAAAATCAGGTTGTAATAGTTTGTGTTGAAATCTGTGGGTGACTTTGTGATTCTGATTGCTGATGGCTCCTCCTGCCTCCTTTCTAAGCCTCTAATTCTTCTGTACTGTGGACCCAGTATCTGAACAAGCAGACTTTCTTTGCCATTGTCTTGTTTTCCTGTGTAACAATCATTTTAATCTTACTGATGGTAAGATGCTTTGTTTCAAGTGCTGATGTTAAAGCATCTACAAGGCTAAAAGGTATGGGTAAGATTATGTGGGAGGGAAAGTATGTAAACAGCAGTGAATTTTATTGAATGGGAGTAATAAGCTACTAAATTCTTCCTTAATTATGTTTTTTTTTTTTTTTTTTTTTTTTTTTTTTGTAAATTTGTGAACAGAATCACTAAGGTTACCACTTCTTAAGCTCTTAGTAATGACAAAAGTGTGAAGTGATTGGGGATGGTTACTTCAATGTCAATTTTGCAGGATAAGTAAAGGTGTTATAAATTGTAATTTCTTTTAACAGCATTATCTTAAACATATTTTGACAGCTATTCAGGATTATGAAACTGCCCAGGAACACAATGAAAATGACCAGCAGATTCGGGAAGGTCTAGAGAAAGCACAAAGACTATTGAAACAGTCACAGAAAAGAGATTATTATAAAATCTTGGGAGTAAAAAGGTGAATTATTTAAAATTTGCATTTTTATTTTCAATCAACTGCTTTAAAGCTAATCATTGCTCCTCTTTCTCAGATTCCTTTCCTAATAGCCTAACATCATAAAACTATTTTGAATATATTACAGTTTTCTTTGATGATAAGAGACTAGTAATGCAAGAATGGAGAATTAGTAGTTGGTGACAAAGATACGACACTGTAGCATGAATAGATCTTAGGCCTAGATTTCCTTTTAAAAAATATACTTTTTTTTCATTTAAGAGAGGAAGGGAGAGAGCGAGAGCGAGAGAGAGAGAGAGAGAGAAATATCAATGAGAGAGTCATTGCTCAGCTGCCTCCTGCATGCCCCACACTTGGGATCAAGCCTGCAACCTGGGCATGTGCCCTGACTGGGAATCACACCGGGACCTCCTGGTTCATAGGCTGATGCTAAACAACGGAGCCACACTGGCTGGGCGAGGCCTGTGTTTCTAAAAAGTAATGTGTTAGGAGAGAGGTGGGTTTTTTTTGTTTTTTTTTTGTGGGGATAGGAAGGAGAGAGGGGATAGGGAAAAGAAAATGTATCTAGGCCTATAAATAAAGTGGCATTTTAAGAATCAACTTGTAGGTACTAAGATATTTAATTTAGCCAATATGTACTTTTGAATAAGACCACCTTCCTTGAATAAACATCATTCTTTTAGGTAATTGATCTAATTAAGTAAACTCATCCAGAAGTGTTGGGTACTTCTTAACTAATGATTATTAATAAATTTTAATATCCCTCAGAAATGCCAAAAAGCAAGAAATCATTAAAGCATACCGAAAATTAGCAATGCAGTGGCACCCAGATAACTTCCAGAATGAAGAAGAAAAGAAAAAAGCTGAGAAAAAATTCATCGACATTGCAGCTGCTAAAGAGGTCCTCTCTGATCCAGGTAGCACTTGCCTTTAACATTTTCTATTCTCTTGAAATGCGTGAATCAGTGACGTGGCCTCCCTCTCCCATTGCCTGCCATACAGACAGTGTTGGAATGGACAGTAGGCAGCTCTGGGCTCACTTCACGGGCTGGTGACTAGTGCGGGCTTGACAGTTCAGAAGTCCAGTTTCATGCCTGCCCCGTCAGACTCCGGGACCCACATATTCTTGGTGCAGTAAATGAAAAATTCTGACTTTGACATCTTTTTTTTTTCATCTGTGATAGGAAAACACAACAGTGAGGGGATCTCTTAGGTTTCACCAGTTTCATAGCTCAGGGATGAATTCTTCAAAACAAATGGACAGGAACTCTATTAGGAAACCAGCTGGACTGTGCAGTGGGGGGAGAGAAGCTCCCTGCCAGTGTGTGCTCCCCAGGAATCTTGTCCTAATCACATGTTCATTTAATTTACTGGCTGCTAAGAGTTCTTTAACACACGCTAAAATGGCCTGGGAAATAACAGTGAAAGAGCTAAAAATTTAGGTATTTTTGAACAACACTGACATTTCCAGAGGGAATTTAATGTTAAGTTAGTATCTACTGATTCTGTGCCTTTCCATGTCAGTGGGAGCAAAAGCTATGGCTTGGGTTAGACAAATTGAGGGAAAAAGTAGAAGGAAATCAAGTTGTATGTCCATTTGACAAATGTTTCTTGAACACCTCACTTATGCTATGCACCTGAAGAGAAACAGTTTTTTGTTCTTAATTTATAATCAAGCATAGGAGACAGAGTGCACTTGATTAGTAGGCTACAGACTGAGGTTGTTTTGTTCTGCAGAGGAGGGTGTACACCTCTCTGGAGTGCTGCTGTCCCCCGGCTTGCAGTGCGCAGGGGGCGGGAGGGGGGGCTCCGTAGCTGAGCACCCCGGGAGCTGGATGAACTGCATTTTTAGTTACTATGAGTTCTTCTTCTTCTTCTTCTTTTTTTTTTTTTCTTGGTTCCCTTTTCTTAGCTCCAATTTTTTAAAAAAATATATTTTTATTGATTTTTTACAGAGAGAAAGGAAGAGAGATAGAGAGCTAGAAACATCGATGAGAGAGAAACACTGACCAGCTGCCTCTTGCACACCCCCTACCGGGGATGTGCCCACAACCAACGTACATGTACATGCCCCCGACTGGAATCGAACCCGGGACCTTTCAGTCCGCAGACCGACCCTCTACCACTGAGCCAAACCGGTTTCTGCCCCAATTCTTATTTTAAGGATGACTTGGCTTTTTCTAAACTCTGAGGATGAGCTTGCTCTCCTGCCACCTGCAGTGTTCCTTTCTCCCATTTGCCTGCACTGGTCTCTGGCTCATCTGGGACTTTCCTCAGGACTGACAGGCACAGCCTTGGAGGTGGCCTCGTTCCCCTCATGTCTGAGGAAACTCAGATTTAACAGTGAGGCTTTAGAAAGCTTGTGCCAGGCTGGCTTCATTGTTGGGCTCAGGATGGTGACAGGGCTGTTTTGGAGGCTCTTTCTCTGCAGTTATTTTTTCCAGAGAAGCATCTCCTTGGGTAGCTTCTTGTGAGGAGAGAAGCTTTAGGGGCCTGATTTTCACTAATACCATTTTCAACCCTGGCCCTCACCCCCATCTCTATGACTGGTGTTTCTCTAATTTCTTTTCCTGAGATCAAACCTCTGATCTAGGAGAGCCTATTTTTGAGTGTCAGGCATACCTGTTTTATTAACTGAAAAGTAAGTAGGTAGTTCCTCAGCCCACCCCCGCCTCCACATCTTAGTCTATACCTGAGTCTTAGTCTTGGTTTCTTTTCTAGAAATGAGGAAGAAGTTTGATGATGGAGAAGATCCCCTGGATGCAGAGAGCCAACAAGGAGGTGGTGGCAATCCTTTCCACAGAAGTTGGAACTCATGGCAAGGGTTCAATCCCTTCAGCTCAGGAGGACCTTTTAGATTTAAATTCCACTTCAATTAAGCCAGCTGTTTTTGTTTTTTTTTTCCCCTCTTATTCCTTAAAATTTTTTAAAGATTAAAAACAAACCTTGTTCCAGGATACTAAAGAAAAAAAAAATTCAAATATTTTAGTTTGTCCATGACCAAAGAATTGTTTTAATAAGAAAAATCTGTTCTTCTCCATTTTAGACTTGAGGTGGATGGGTTTGTTATGGCCGGGAGCTGAGGAATGGGTCTGAGGCAGGCTCACCTGGTCTGTTTTCCTATGCTGCAGCAGGTAGGAATGGTTTTCACAGCCCTGCATAGTATGTCAGTGCCTATATGAAGAAGAAGGAGCTGTACGTAACCTTCATGAGAATGGGTTATATTTCAGTATTCGTAAAGAGAATATTAACATTTAGAGCTATTGGTTCTTAGGGACAATTTTGTTTAGATTTTGGTCAATACAGTCACTTGCAAATATCTGTTAAATTACAGAGCCTCCTTTAGTCCGCATGCATGTCCATCTCCCTCCAGCATACACATGGCTGGCCCTGGGGAGGAAGGGACTAGAGCTCCTGCTGGAGAGCCTGTCACCCAGTGGCAGTCAGTGGAGCCAGGGTTAGGCTTTGGATTGATGGTAAGCACATACGTTGTGTTGTATTGCTGAGTATCTCTGCAAGAGAATACTAAAAACCACTGAAATAGAATTAATTATAAAACCTATGGGCCTTTTGTTTAACATGACACATAATAAACTTAAAAGTTATGCATAAATAGATTCAGAGAAGATAGCAGTGCTTTTAAGTAAAAAATTTGCTGAGATGCAGAGTGAACTGCTTCAACTGAAATTGAGAGTTAAACCTATCCGATAACAGGGTTGAAATATAAAGTTGCTCAGTTAACATCAACAGAATGCCCTCTTGCCCACCTTTAATACATACAGTGGGGCAGGCGCTCTTACCTCCTGGCTGACCCTCTTGTTCTGTAGTAACGCCCAAGTGGGGCCTGTTTCAAGTGGGCATGAAACAGCAGACCCGTCCCTTTACCTGCCTGAAGGAAAAAAAAAAAAAATGCAGGCTTACAGATCTAGTCAGCTCTGGCTATATTTCCACTATTAAGATGGCATCTCTTCTTGGGATTCCTTCTTCTTAACTTTGAAGAAATGAACTATTCAATCTTTGTTATTTGATAATTGATAATTTTTTCCTCTAAAAAAATGAGTGTTACTTTAATCAAAAATATTAAACATTTATGGGACTATTGATACTGCATTTAAAATCTAAGAAAATTACTTTAGATAAGAATTAGTACCTTTACTCTGGAAAGGTTTTTCTATTTGCCTCAAAGCATGCTGAAGCATTTTAAGCAATACAATACTGATACTGTTTTTATGAAATCAAGCATTTTAGTTTTAGTTCTAGAAAGCATCCTGACCAATAATGTCCACAATGGGCAAGCACAAATCATTTTCTTCCACAGTCACCCTGAAACATATGTGGAAAAATTTTCTTAACTAGGAGACAAAAATCACATCGTTGAGTTGGGTAAAACACGTGCTTTTTGCATCTATTTAGAAGTCTATTTTTTACCAATAAACTTAACAATGCATTTTGAAAACTAGTGAACATCTTGCAGCTTTCATTTTGTTTTAATGTCTCAAAATTCAAGTTAATATGAAAATAATTTCCAAAGGAAATTCCTTTATTTAATTTCAGTAATCATATTACTTAATTATATCAGAGATTTTTTTCAATCTGGTTCTTTCGTATATGATGTCACTGTGACCTCTTTGATATCTAGCAATGGTCTCTACTTTCAAGAAAAGGATTTTCACACACATGAGAACAAAAGGAATGTCCAATTACTTGCCCTTCTATTCAGAGGAGAGGATGAAAAGTCCGGAGGGTTGAGAACTGGGCCACATGGGAAATGTATCTGGGACATAGTTACCTCGCTGCCTGCCAATTTCTGCCCAGAAGGTTGTTTACATTGTTTTTTCTCCAATGTAATAACTTGTAATAACTGTAATTCCTGTTTATAAAGTCTTACCATGGACTTAATTTAGTCACGTACTGAAATGTGCAGAATTACTTGCCTGTTTTCAGTGAAGAGAGTAAAATCTGTGATGCCAAGTGCCAATGCCACTGAGAAATTAATTCTTTGGAATTTGTTTTGCTGACTAATGAAGAAAACCATGACCTTTACATTCCGCCTGGATGGGCATCAGCAGTCTCTGGCATCCACCTGAAGGGAAAGATGGTCACTTGATGTCTCCTTACGTGACTGAGGAAAACGTGGGTGTGTCGAGGACAGCGAGTCTCTGCTGGTCTGAGGATGGCTGTGCAATGGAAGGCGATGACTGAGGAAGCATTCGACTGGTTTGGGGCTACTTGCACTGACCTTTCGAGTCTCTGGAGACGGCAGTGCCCGGTAACCTTCATGGCTCTTTCTGGGAAAGTGAATGCCAAGGGGCACGTCACCTCACCTGTATTGTATTCCCTTCTTACCGCCTCCCTTTGGAGAGCTCCACAAGTGAAGTATTTCTGGTCTGTGCATTGTGGATCTTTTCCACAGCAGCAAGTATTAAACACATCAGCCTATAAAATGTGAGAGAGTTCTGAAAAGAGAATAAATTAATTTATTGCCCACTTCTGAAAGTTCGTGCTTTCTTACCATGGATAAATGAAAACTGGAGAACAACTTTAATAGTTGACTGATGTGAATTGGATATAACTACTAATTTTAAAATGTCTTTCTCTTTAGTCAGTATTAAAAATTTATTCTAAATATCAATATGGAAACAGAACTTTTTTGGGACTTTGATAATAAAATGCAAACAATCCACTAAATTTTAAAGAGAAAGATACTGATAACTGAGTAGGAAAAAAGTTAATAGAATCACAATTTAAAATTGGCATAATTTTCTATTCATGGTGGAAAATGAAAGATTCACCTTTTAAAGGCATGAAGCTGGTAAAAAATTGTGAGGTTTACCATGAAAAAAAAAAATGCATAAGATGCCTAAGTTAAAAATGGTTCCTCAGGTATTTGTTAGAGCCGACTGCCTTAAAAGTACAGGGCACTGGTGACAGGCCTTGCAAAGGGTTTTTGTTGAGCAACATCAATAGTATAACCTAGAGAGATCCATGCAACTTTGTTGAACGTAATTTCCTTTTCCATATTTATAAAGTAAGGAAGAAAGAAGGCAAATGCTAATCTGTCAGTGCATTATATCCTTATTCTAAATCAGATTATTTCTTTTTAAAGTAGAAGAGTTTATTCTGTAATTGCAAATGATGTTAATAGGTGGGGATACTTTTTTATTTTTATGAATGATCTCATTTGCTGAATGATTTAAGAGTAAAATTAGCCACCGAGTGGCTTGTGTATAGTTAACAGGTTTTGTTACAATCATCTGTGGTTGAACCTCTTACCTGCAGTGGAAAGCAGAGTGTGGAGAGTGTAAAAGCTGGAGATGTTTGGGGTTAAAATAGTACTCCTGTACGGCTGTATACTAGGTTTTGAATGAGAACACTTAGTAACTTAATCCATCTCAGTTTAGTGTTTTAATAAAAAACTGAAAATTAATTGAAATGGGTCTCAGACATGTCTACACATATGGGTACTATTTTTATGCCCTTGTATTTTCACATTTAATAAAAATATTTATGGTCAAAAATCAGTACATTTTTGCTTTTGATTAATTTCTAGTCTTTTGGAGAAGTCTATTTTCCCACTTTATTTCACACATTATCATGATTACAAGGACTCCTGAACACAAGCTAAGGAAAATCAGAGCACCAAATGCAGAAATGGCTAAAATCTCTTAATTTCAAAAGTCAAGTGGATGGTTCTTCAACTTTAATTAAAATCTCTTAAATTGACTTTGAAGACTTACCCTTTTATTCTATAACTAGAGGCCTGATGCACGGAATTTGTGCAAGAGTAAGCCTGCCTTCTCCCGGCTGCTGCACCAGCTTCCCTCCGGCACCTGGGACCTGGGCTTTCCTCGCAGCTCCCACTTCACCTGAAAGGATGTCTAGTCTAATTAGCATATTATGCTTTTTTATAGATTTGTACATTTCTATTAAAGTCTTTAAAGGGGTGGTAGGGGATACACTGTTAATCAAATTTCTAACAACAAAAGCTTTCTTAACTCTATATTCTGCATACCCTAAAACTAAAGGACAGCTAGGATACTTATATAGACCTTTCCCAGAAAGCTCAAAGTTTGCAAATTCTTAATCATATTTTTGTAATATATGAACCACTGGCCCTAGTCTGAAGACAATAAGGGCTTCCAAGAGTACAAAGAGGAAGCTCCCTGTAGCATATTTATAAATTTAATTTTCAGATATAAGGTATCATTCATGTTGAAATGAGACATGTAAATTTAGCCACTCAACTCACAAGCTGGAGGGAGCCATCAAGACTTTATATTCTGCAATTTTAGCTTCTGCTCTATGAAATACAGACTCTACCAAATTGCACGTTATAGTAATAAGCATGGGAATCAGGTGTCTGCCTATCCCATCCTTTCCACAGGATTCTTACGAAAGTGGAAACAGGCTGACAATAAAGGAAAACAAAGTACCATCTTGCAATTGGGGGTTCTGCGCAAAACACAACCATGAACTCAGAATTTCTTACCTCTCATCAAGCTCAAATGTTACTCCTGACTCCAAAGAGGAATGAGCCAGGTAGTACATGGAGTTGGTCACCTTAGGCCAAGTTACCCATGAGGCCTTTGATAGCATCCCTTTGGGTCCCTGGAAACCACAGGAACATTCTAGTTCCATCAGGTAGGCCATATCTGGAACACTCCATTTTATCATAGACAAATACAAACACGTAACAAAGGGAGGGTGACCAGGAAAGGGAGAAGTCTTGTGATCTCTTATTAACAATGAATGAAACTACTGGGACCAGAGAACTTATTTGCAAATTCCCTGGGCTGGGCTGTCAAATAGAGAAGAACTAGACTTGTTTAGAAGCGCTCAAAGGAGCAAGAGTAGAAATTGCCAATAGCCAGCTCTGGCT